CGGGGCGGGGAGCGGCCGGGGAGCGCGGGGGGTGCCCGCCTGCTCCGCGGCGGCAAGCAAAAAGCCGGAGCTGCTCGCATTTGACTTGCCATGCCGGCTCCTCACTAGAATGCAAAGCCTCGCACAGGATGAAAACAGGTTTGTGGCAAATTCTCCTGGAAATGTTTCGTTCCCCGCCGCCGCCGCCTTCCTGTTGGAGGTGTCAGAGAAGATCCTGATGGTGACACGGTGGCAGATACCTCTGCTGCGTACCCTCCGCTCTTCTTCGGAGATGTTAAGGCAGAGATAAATCTTTCATGCAGCTGCCTTTTCATATCTGTGGCGGTTGCTGCACAATCTGCACTTGATTGCAGCTAAAATATTCTTTTTAGGATCCGTTTCACAAAATGATGCAAAATAAACACAGATGGGAGAAGTGGGGGAGAGAAAGCTGTAATGAGGTAGCGATGGTGGATTGCTCTTCCCTCCTTCCCCCCCTCCCGTGCCCTCCCCCCAAATGTGAGCCTTTTCTGAACACAAAATGCTACATTTCTGTTTTAAAGCAGTAAAGGTTTTGGGGGCTCTTTGGGGTTTTGGAAGGAGACTTCCATCAGGGGTGCTTGCCTGACTGACTTTCTTGAATGTCTGTGGCTACCGAGCCCATCAGCTTCTCTCTTGCCTTCACCTGTTTTAAAGTATGTCTTGTTTCTTCCGACCCCTTGCAGGTCATTCTTCCAGAATGCCAGAGGAAAGTTCGCCAAAGCGGAGTCCTCAAAACATCCCGTACAAGGACCTGCCCCATATCATCAATGCTGATGGGCAGTATCTCTTCTGCAGGTATTGGAAGCCAGCAGCAACTCCCAGGTGAGCACTTGCAAGCAAATGTCCTTTTTTACTATCAGTAAATAAGACTCTATTCGTGTAATTGTTATTTATAGCTTGGCTGGCGTTGCAAGGCTGTGTGCATGGAGCTTTACAGAGCCACTAAGAGAGATTTCTCTCAGCTGAGAGAGCCCCCACGGTAAAGGCTGTATTCTCCAAACCTTTACTCACTCAGGTCGGCCTTACCGGTGTAAAACATGGAGTTACTGTCATTTCGTGCACAGCTGGCCTGGTTGGCAGTTCGCTCTGCTACCCCGTGGCACGTGCAGGTGGCTGATGTCTACCGGCAAGAAACACCTCTCTTCAAACCAATGGCACAGGCAGGCAGGGAGGGCTGGGATACAGGCTTAGGGACGGCTGCTCTTTCTGATTTTCTCACTGTCAACAAATTAAACATTAGCATCTGACTTCAGTTTCATCAGTAGCAGCTGAAATCTCAGGGCAACAGGCAGACTATGGGTTGACTCCATTGCTTTTTGACTGTTGCTTGGGGTTTTTTAAATTGTTTATAGTTAGTAAATGATTTCAAAACTGACCTCGGTGATCAACATGGGCAAGGAACCAGATAGAGAAAGTTCTCTAATGTTTTTGTCATAATTTAAATAATCCCTTTACTGTAATAGCTTCCTATGCTGCTTGTGTGCTGATTGTGATCTGCTATAGAAAGCTATTTCTGTTCCTCCCATAGTTATGATCGTTCTTCTTCCTCCCAGTATCTGCTGGCTTGGCATGTGTTTATGCTACCACTAGTGACATAGGTAGCTACTTCATAAAAATCTGGATATTGCTTTATCGTTTTCTTCTGCTGCAAGCCAACAGGAAAAGCTATGTTGATTTTATACAGCGAGAAAACAGTCGCAGGAAAAAGTTGTTCAAGCTGTAGGAGAGAGTTAAACTTTTTCCGTGACCGCCCAAGAGGTCAGACATCATCCTGTGTCCAAATCAGCCTGCAACTGCCCTGAGAGGTGGATACGGGTCCGAGTTAGCCGGCCTTGGGTTTTCTGCCTGCCAAACTACGGGGTCATGGGGATAAGATGGAGGTGGGAGGTGGGCTAGCACCGAAGTACGCTGTCCCGAGGGGAGGGCTGTGCAGCTGCCCCGCTGTGGCCCCATTGCACTGGTTGGGCTGTAGGACATGGGTCTTGGTTTAAGATCACCTTGTCCGCAGAGCATTTTATAGTTACTTCTAGTCACTGCCTTTCAGAGACAAGGAGGAAAGTTTTTGGCACTGATGCTTTACGTAGTCTTTGCACCAACCTGGGTATTTCCTCTACAGAAAAAAAAATGCTATCAAAACAAGCTTCTACTGTGAAACCAGGCTGTCATGTACTATAATGCTAATTCATCACTAACTGCCCACAGCGTTCTTCAGCCAGTTGTGGAATTGCTTTCTTTTTTCATGTTTAATTTCTTAGCAAATCAGTAGTGAGTGGATGGGTCTTTGATCCAGAAATGAAAGGATGATAAAGACCTGAGAGTTAAAACTCGGTGCCTAAGTCCTCTGGGTAGTTAGTTTTTCTTAGGGCTCTGTGCACCAAGCAGTTAATGGAGAGCGAGCCTGCCCTAGTTTTGTGACAACAAAACTGGATGGGATCAGCGTTGCTCATTTACAAGTGGTTCCTAGGTGCGTGTGTGTGTATGTGTTTGCGTGTTTGTGTATAAGGCGGGGGCGTGCTGTTTATTATTAGCTCTTTTTGCATTGTTGTGTACCAGAGAGATGGTAGGTGACTGAATAACAATTAGTGCCTGGATCCTACAGTCAAGAATGCTCTTGAAGTGCTTTGATAGGCAAACCAAAAATACTTTTTTTTTTCCCCCCTCTCACTTTTCATAAGTAGCTCGGCTTTTTCTGCTTCATATGTAGAAGCTCAGCAACTTTCATCTAATTTTAAATGTTCAGCAAAAGTGATCTATATATATATGTACAGGGAGAGAAAGAGAGACACCTCAGGGGACTTTTACAGGCCTGTTACAATTTATTCTATTTCAAATACTGACGGCGATTCTTTCAATCTTCTAACTCAATTGTTGATTCAGGTTCAAATCTTAATGCTAATGAATGATGCTATAACCGTCAAACGGTGGGATCTTTCATTGATCCATTATGCATCTAATCCCTGCTCGGGCTATAGAAATACCTCCTCACTGCAGATGCCCAACGGTTATCATTGACTTGTCTTCTGTTAGAATAGAACTTACCATCCTCAATCCCTCCCCCGGGGAGGGGAGAAAACGGGATATCTGCCAAAGGAAAAATGAAAAAGTAGCCCTAGCCTGGGGTTGAAGAGCGAACAATGGCGAGGCAGTGTCTGAGAGCGGGGCCGACCGACAGCCATCGCCCCTCGGAGCTGGTGCTTCTCTTTTACCTCCTCAAAGAGACCCGCAGAGGTGGATAAAGGCTGTGGCAGACTAATGTGCTGTAGCGTATTTTTTTTTTAGAAAACGATTTGTCAGGAAGGTAGGGAAATTTTGTAAGGCTCTTTTGCTTCATAAATATCCAGGCTCTGATCCTGTGTGGTGTTGATCTGACTGATCAGCCCATACTGGTGCACATATGGAAGCTTTGTTATAAGTGCCACCGAGGCCAAGGTTGTCCTGCGAGTGAAAGGCACCTATTGTGCGTTCCTCAGCAGGGTCCGCTTTGTTTCCAAGGGGGATTTAGGTGATTACTTCGCAGGAAGCTGGCAGACAAAGGCACTCAGATGTCATAATGATTAGATGGGGTAGCTAGAGTAGGTAGTAATGGGACTAAGGAAGGAGAGCGACAGTGTTTTCCACTTGTTTTTCGGGTGGGAAGTCACTCCCAACAGCAGAGCTGGGGACTGGGTGTCTTCTTCTATTGCTGTCTGCTGGCAGCAATGCAGGTGCGACTTACCTGGCCAGCAGCCCTGCAAGCTGCCCAACTTGTTGAGCCAGTTTCGTCTTAAGATGGAATTAAGTGGTCTTGTTGAACGCAGCGGCGAAGAAAAAGCAGTATGTTCTGGTGTTGTTTTCACGCGTTGTGCCAACTGCAGGATTTGTAGAGCGTGAAAGCAGGTAACTCTTTGGCACTGAGCGCTCGCTAGTGAGTGCAAAGCTTACGATCTGGGCAAGGCAGGGCATTTTCAGGACCGTGTAATGTTGGTTGGAGTAAGTAAATCGTTGGTACCAAACCAGATTGATCTTGTGCCTATAGTGTGTCCCAGTAGCCGAGGTAATCCTACTTAATGGGAAAGAAGTCTTTGTGTAAACAAAAACAACGGCTCCGTGCAAAGTTAAGGCCTCTGCTACCACCCTGAGTGGTCTGAGTCAAAATATGAGGTAATAGGAGGTGAGGAATTAGGAAACCATGCTCTGTTCCCAGCTCTCAGACAGAGCTGCTAAGAATAGGGGTGGGATGAGGAAGGGGAAGGAAAGTTGGGAGGAGAAGTCAAGACATTTCCTTTGAGGCCCCTAAAGGGCCTGGAGAAGTTCAGAGATGACCTTCTTTCCCTTTTCTCCCGGAGCCTTTTCTGGATGCTTCAGCTGTTCCTGTCACTGCCTAGATAAGCACAAACAGTTTGTTCTGGGGCACTTTCAGCCCCTCTGCTTGACCTCAGATAAACCCTGTGGGATTTATTGACCCAGAGTGGTTTTTTTCAAAGGTGCTAATAGCCTGTGGCCACCATTGACTTCAGATAGAGAAAGTGATGCTCAACTCCCTCCCTGTAGACTAGCCACTCTAGGTTGGATGCTTGAAGCTTGAGACACTTGTAATTAGAGGATGCTTTTGAAAATGTGGGTTCCTGACATCCTTGTATCTGAGCTTCCTCATCTATCAAACAGAAATCATTATCCGGCTAGTTAGCACGATGCTTGTGTCTCTCTCCACGTAGTGGTCTCTAGGTGCACTTAGATGATTGCCAGCAACTGAAGTGGTCGCCTGAGGAGGCCGCCTGAAGCTGAGACACGTGTGGGTCACAGATGTGTTCCTGGTCGATTGTTAATGTACACTAAAATGGGTTGGCTCAACTTCAGACATTGTGACCATGGTTTAAGTGAACAGAGTTGCAATTGTCTGAGTAAACAGTGTCTTTGTAGGCGTTCTTTCAGTTCTACACCTGACAAGTGTGATTAAAAACACAAAATTAAACAAATAAAAAGCACCTGCTTTTCAATTTACTTTTTAAATTTGTTTTACTCCTTGAAAAATGCCTGTCATTCATTTGGACTTGTTAGCAATGAAAGGCCAAGCCAATAAGGAGAAAATATATTTCTCTCTTCCCTGAGGACTTTGCAGAAGTGCCTGTGGTGCAGAAATACAAGCTGCCTTTATATTTGAACTGGCCCTTAAATTGTGAATATTGCTTGCTGATTTTGGCACCTCATTACCAGCATTTTCATGGCTTTTCCAGAAGAACAGCACAGCTCCCAGCATGAGCAGATGACAAAGTTGAATTTGACTTTGAGACCCTTCCAAAATGAATAAATAAATAAATAAATAAACCAAAGTGAAGTCAAAGCAAAGGGAATCAAGTCACTAATTACAATGTCTTTAATTATACTGAGTGGTGTTAGTCTCTAGAAATACTTAAAGGAGTTTCTAATTCAGCGTCACTCTTGAAGAACACTTTTGTTTGTACTAACGAGGTCAACTTCGAACTAACGCACAAGGGCCAAATTTGCGTGGTGCGAAGTGACTTCTGGAGGCACAGTTTGTCATCGGATGAGTTCAACTCCCTCTGTGTGTTTGATCACACCGTGGGCAGTGCAAAGGGGAAATAACAATTATCATTGGCGAATCACCAGTCCAGGCTTTGCTTGCTGTATTGCTGTTGCCTGAGTTTCTAAAGCCTCCCTTCTATTCATCAGCCATGTATGCGTTCCTTTAACACCTTTTGTTCTCTTTGCTCCATGTGACTGTCCTATTCGCTGTGAATGGGGGCGTCCTTTTATGATTTCTTATCCATTTCCAGAGGATGGGCAAATTAGCAAACCAGCTTCACGTGAGAGGGACTCTGACG